AGATATGCTTTTCCAAGAAGGACCAAATAGGCACTATGGGTGTCAGATAAATCTTTCACAGCTGCCACCCAAGGACTGAGCGGCTCGACGCTGGCATCGCCTTTCCAATCCAGAAGGAAAATTCGTATAACTGTTCTGCCTGCCAGAGGACACCAACGACAGCCTTACGAGCCTGCACTAGCCACGCCAGGAATCTACGTACTGAATCGCAAGTTAATGAGGACCTGCATGCCTTCCTGGCGATTGCGCTGGGAGCAAAAGGTGGTTGTTCTTTGTGGAATCAATACTCTCTTTATGACAACCCTTACTGTCTGGAATGGCATGCTGGATCCCCGTGGAATTAGTAGCTGTAACGACAGTGGTTCCATTCTTGTGGGAATCAGCACACGACACTTCATTCAGCTGAAAAGCACCCTATTCCGCCTCATAAGAGGGAAAACGAAACATAATTAACCTCCACATCGCGGTGCTGGCAAGTACTAGCTTGCGTTCTCGTGTGGAAGTGAGGCCAGAAGGACGTGCTGGTGACCAAGCTGACCTGCGACGCCGGTGGCTATTCAGATCACCCTCTTGTTATCTTAAAGCTGAAGCTCCGTCTGCAACTTCACAGAGGATTATGATTTAACGCAGCACAAGGTAAAAAATACTGTACTGTTGAATATGTCTGTTCACCGTTTGATTACAGTAAACAGTTTACCTCGCACCCATAAAACACTTCGGCTATGGGTGAAAACATTACCGTGGACAAACAGTAGTTTCAGCCGTTGAACAAGATCTACAGTAACGTCTAGGATCTCCTTAGCCACCCAAGTCGTCAAGATCATGATCAATTTTACGACAACAATGAAGAAATCTGCATAATACTGCAAAAAAAAGCCGACGCGAAAAAGTTGGCTTTTTCAGGCGCCGCCGCTTGGTGGGTGAAGGCAATGAAATCCAAATTTGTACGGACCGCAATTAAAGGAAGTATTTATTCGTCTCCATCAAGCCAAACTATAGCTTTCTCACAAATGAACGGAAAAACGTAACGGCATTTCTTACGGCATAGGCAATGCTATCTTTGGAATAACCGGCCAAGCAAAATTAGGTTGTTCATTAGTCTATCTGCATTCAAACGAGGACTGTGCTTTTATTTTAACACTGATTCTATTGAACTTTTATTCTCATAATCATTTCCAAGCAGCTTGCTTTACTACTCTGAAGAAGGACCATCTGGGATTTAGGAGACCGATTTCAACTTACATTTTCTTGTTTGCTGTTCCCCATGAGCAATTATCTGGGCATAACCCACTCTCAGCAAAATGAGGGAAACTATATGGACGCTCACAGTTCAAACTACCCTCGTTTCCTTTGCTGTTAACCATCACCAGAATTCGCTTTTAGCTCCTGAGATCACGAGGCCTCACGTCCATTGACATTTTCTCATAATTTATCATTCGCAATACCTCGGTGTTACGTACTCACATTGTGGACTGCCACTGTAATACCAACCTAGTCTTCTCCTCCATAGGTTTCTTCTAAAGGATTTAGTTAGCAACCTTTAGAAAATTATTGTGAACTAAGATGGAAGCAGTGAGAAAAACTCCTACGACAAATGTGGGGTCAGAGTTCAGCGAGCCCCCACACTTTCGCCTTAGTATTTTTCCTTCTCATTGTTTCTTTCTTAGTTCAGAGTTATCTTCTAAAGTTTTCTAACGAATATTCTCGAAGGAAGAATAGCCAGTGGATGTTAAATGCTCTGTCTACCATATTACTCATTGCTACTGCATATCTGACCGTTTACGTAGAGCAGCAATGTGGATATTGTCATTATTTGCCCTCAGTAATAAGTCTGGTTCGATAGTGCTATCTGGGCGCTTAAAATATAAAAAAATATCTATTTTCTTGAGGCGGGCACTGCGGAACCGTTCCTAAGAGTACCTCCACAATCTCCGACACCACCACCATCGACCGTGCCCTAAACTAAAGCGAACAACAAACTGAAACTTCCGCTTTCCCTTCCTGAGTCAATCGGAGATGCCCAAAAGCTCTCCACCGAGAAAGCACCGGTAAAAGATGTATTTGCGGCTGAAGTCTACAAGCACTCTGGTCCTCGGCTGATGCGTAAACTTAAAACGACAAGTCCTTTAGGATTTCGGGGACGCGACAAAATTCAATCGTTTAAAGTTGAAGGTGAACCGGCGAGGCCGTGAGAGGCATAAGCGGACCTAGATGCTCAATGTTATCGGAACGATCTTCGCTCACACGCTTCTAAACCATCTCAACGACCATCTGGGAGAGACTTCCGCAAACACAACAACACCACCGACAGGATCTTCACTATCCACAAATTAGACTACACCTACGTTACCATCACGTACATGAAGAAAGATTTGGACAGGGTACGCATTATGAAACCTGGGAAATCATACAGATGTACGGCTGTACTAAGCGATTCAGCAGATGCTCCTTAGCGCCACGACAACACAAAGACGTGTGGTAGGGACAATGGAACAGTCATGAAAGCTCCCACAGTGGCCAACATAGTGTAGTAGAACTATGTATTTACCCCCCAATCTTCGTTGTTACGCCGATGCAGGCGTACAATGATAAAGGCCCTGGGGCCAACAACCGGCTTTTCACTACCCGACGCATAAAGGACCTAATACGTACCTTCCACGACTTGCCCTTTGCGGACAACTGTGTGTTTAATACGACAGCAAAAGAGAATAAGCAGCAAAGCATTGGCATCAAGTATCCAGTACAGAAACATGCTGACTAATCTTCAACACGGACAAAGCGATGATTATGCATCATTCATCGCTACATAAAGTACACAACGTCCTGCGTATAACGTTCAATGACTGCCACCTCCAACTATTGGGCAAATTGGCTTTCTTAGGCAGTACACATTCATACAACATAAAAAAGGATGATGAAGTTGTACATCGGATATTCAGTGCCAGCCACGCCTTCGGCTGACCGCAGGCTTCAGTTTGGAAATTCCGGGGTTATACCAAGGCAAATGCAATTTCGATGGAATGGCAACGTCGTGTAGATGGACGACGAGTGCTTCCCAAAGCGACTCTTATACAAGAATCCGCAACGGGTGCTCATAGACAATAGGTCAATAGGGGTGCTTCAAGAACAATCGGAGAGCTTCCCATAAGAATTTCCGAATATCTCCGCTGGCCTGGGCAAAAGTCGCCTAGGAACGACCTACATTAAAAAGCACAGTGAGTCCTGGGGCGGCGTTCTATGACTGGAACAAGATGGCCACTGCGAAGGGCAAAATGGCGGCTCGAATGTCCCAAAGACCTGCGACACACAATGCGCACACGCCGCCCCCTTTGACCATGTGCACGTTTTAAACTAATATTTAGCGCACGAATCTGCCTCGTTTGACATCTCTACCCACGGCTCAGGAGCAGCCGGACGACATCACCCACAGCCTCCGCAAACGACCCGATCGTTACCCCTGCACCCACATGCACGGCGGCTACCACCAGTGATGATCACGCTCGGAAGATCAGTCATCGTCGTCGAACCCCACTACTTCCATAATCTCTGACACAACTCCCACGACAACTAAAGGATTATCGCCTCTCCGCCTGCACTCACCAAGAGAACATTCCTGGCATTTAGTCAAACAATTGACAGCCTATCTGATCTCTCTCAACAACCAAATGCGTACCCCTTCATCTGCTCGTTTTAAATGCCAGATCCCTGCTTAATAAAATGTTCCTACTTCAGACTTGCGTCTTCATCCATCGTACAGATACTGTTATAGTAGGAAAGACATGGACAAACTCTCTGCAGCCGACTCCGAACTCTCTATTCTAGACCATGACTACATTCGGAAGTATCCTCGCGACAGCCGTAATGAGGGAAGCCGTATCTACGTTAAGCAACGACTTACATTTCTGCCTTTGGACCATTCAGTATTTACCACGGTGAAAGGTAACCTTCAGCTTCGAGTTGTCTTAAGAATAAACACTGTTTACTCATGTTTTGTGTTTATTGTTCATCCAAATAACAGTGGGGATTACGATATATATCTCTTGAAGGCATTTCATACCGCGGCTGACTTAAATCTTAAGTATTGCTTAATTGCAGGCGAGTTAAATCTTTCTGGTTTCCACCCACCGGTCCTACAAAGTTCGAGGACTTACTTGAGACCGTAGACATCGGCATTCGAAATCAGGTAGTCAATTTTCCCATCCGAAGACCGAACATCCTTCATCTAAACTTCGGTAGAGGTTGTTTGCTATCGTCAGTGACATCTTTGAAACCATTTGGGAGTCTAGACCATGCCATATTTGTTTCTACACCAGAACTTGAAGCGGATTAAATGTTTTCCGTCCAATGCGTTCCCTATGAAGATATTCGGCATTTGTCGTTTGAGGACTTGGTGGAACAATTAGCGTATTTCTTTTCCTTTCCTTTAGAGAAGCCAAAATGATATCAGTCAGCAAGTCTGTGGGAGCCTGTCGCGCCGACTCACACTGCCTTCGTTCGCCAAGCCTCGCACACTCGCTGTCTACTCGCGCGAGATAAACTCTTCCGCACTTTCTTAGTCAGTCGCTGCGAGGGTCCCGCGAAGTCCTGCCGTCCCCACGCTCTTGACCAACTCGCCGCTTCATACGCGCGTACGCTCAGTGCTAATCGATACTTCCACTTGATTTGATTGGCGGCAGCCGACAGAGCTCTCATTCCGCAGCCAAAGCTTCACGCACCCACACAACTTCACGGACACATCTGGCGTGCATACGCAGCTGGCACACAACACGGCCATTGCACCGTCTATTTTCCGGCAGTAAATTTCTGTCTACTAACACCTTCTGTTGTGGACACTAATACCTGAGACAAGTCGTACTTCTCTTCGAGAATGAAGGCTCGCTGGTGAAAGTCTCCACAGCCGACACAACGACGGAATGCCGTGGAATCCCTCTCATTGGTCGCGCGTCTTTCAATGTCTGGTGCCAGTAAACTGTTCTCAGTTACATTTTGTGTCTCCTGGAGTCCAGTAAGTCTAACCAATTTTGAACCTAACGATCCAGTCGCTATTTTTCTTTCACAGGAAAGTGTAAGTGAATCAAAAAGCAGTCTCAACTGCTCTTCTGTAGTTGATAAATAAATTTGATTACTGTTGGGATTGCGGCTTGGCGTGTTCGAGTGGCACTTGTGAAACCGCGACTAGCTGGGCATGCGTATACGTGCGCATGTAAGTGTGGAACTGAATAGCGGTCAAGTGGTCTTGAGGTCAGCAAATGGTAACAGCCGCGTGCAAAAGCAAATGACGT